TTTATTTTTTTATAGTAGCTATTTTAACAGGTATCTCATTGTGGTTTTGGTTGCATTTACCTGATGATTAATTTTGTTGAGCATTTTTTTCATCAGTGTGATGGCCATTTGTATGTCTTCTTTGGTGAAATATCTATTCAGATCCCCTGCCTGTATTTTCACTGGGTTGTTGTTTCTTTTTTTTTTTTTTCTTTTTTCAATATTAAATTGTATGAGTTCTTTGTATATTTTGGATATTAACCCCTTTTTTGGACATAGCATTTGCAAATATCTTCTGCCATTCAGTGGGTGGCCTTTTTGTTTTGTTGATGGTATTTTCATGTGCAGAAGTTGTTATATGTGCAAAAACTTTAAGTTTGATTTAGTCCCATTTGTTTATTTTGCTTTTGTTTTCCTTACCTGAGGAGGCATAACCAAAAACCACTGCTAGCAACCAATGTTAAAAAGCATATTATCTATGTTTTATTCTACAGGTTTTATGGTTTCAGGTCTTAGATTTAATTCCTTCATCTGTTTTGAGTTTCTTGTTGTATAATATATGGTATGATAAAGTAGTCCATTTTGGTTCTTTTGAATGTAACTGTCCAGTTTTCTCAGCACCATTTATTAAAGAGGCTGTCTATTCTCATTGTATAACCTTGCCTTCTATGTCATAGATCATTAACCATATAAGTGTAGGTTTATTTCTGGGCTGTCTATTCTATTCCTTTTATCTATGTGTCTGTTTTCATGTCAATACTATATTGTTTTGATTACTGTCCTTTGTAGTATAGTGTGAAATTGGGGAGCACAATACTTCCAGTTTTATTCTTCTTTCTCAAGATTGCTTTGGCTCTTTGACCTCTTTTGTTGTTTCATATAAATTTTGGGACTATTCTAGTTGTGTGAAAAATGCTATGGGTATTTTAATAGAAATTACATTGAATCTGGAGGTTGCTCTGAGTAGTATGGACATTTTCACAGTATTAATTCTTTTAGTCTGTGAGCACAGTTTATCTCTTCATTTAATTGTGTCTTCCTCAGTTTCTTTCCCCAATGTTTTATAGTTTCCAGAGTACAAATCTTTCATTTCCTTGATTAAATTTATTCCTAGGAAATTTATTCTTCCCTATGCAATTGTAAATTTCTGGTCAATTATTATTAGTGTATAGAAATGCAATAGATTTCTGTGTCTTGTTTGTATCTTGTAACTTTACTGAATTCATTTGGTAGACCTAATAGTTTTTTGTGTGGAGTATTTAAAGTTCTCTGTATATGGTATATGTCATCTGCAAACAGTGGCAGTTTCAATTTAGATGAATTTTATCTCATTTTCTTGCCTAATTGTTCTGGCAAGGGCTTCCAAACTATGTTGAATAAAATTGGGAAGAGTGGGATCCTTGTTTTCTTCCTAGTTTAGAGGAAATGCTTTCAGCTTTTCACCACTGAATATGACATGAACTGTGGGTTTGTCATATATGGCCTTTAGGTTGAAGTATGTTTCCTTTGTAACCACTTTGTTGAGAGTTTTTGTTGTAAAATGGATATTGAATTTTGTCAAAAGTTTTACTGCATCTGATTATATTATTTTTATCCTTTATTTTGTTAATGTGGTGTTTCACATTGAGTGATTTGAATATATTGAACTATTCTTGTGTCCCTAGAGTAAATCCTACTGAATCATGATATATAATCCTTTTAATGTGTTACTGAATTTCGTTTGCTTATATATATTCTGTTGAAGATTTTTGTATTCCTGTTTATCAGGGATAATTATCTATTATTTTCTCTGTTTTCATAGTATCTTTGATTTTGATATCAGGATAATGCTGGCCATGTAGAATGAGCTTGAAAGTGTTCCTTCGTTCCCCTTTAGTTTTTTGAAATAGTTTGAGATGAATACATATTAAGTCTTCTTTATATGTTTGAGAATACCCTGTTTTATCCCTTCACTTTTTGTGTGATTTTAGATGTCAAGTGAGTACTTTGATGGAAGCATGTATATGGAGCTTTTTTTTCTTTTAATACATTCAGCCACTCTATTTTCTGGGTTTGAACATTTAGTCCATTTACATTTAAAGTAATTATTGACAGACATGTACTTATTACAATGTTGTTAGTTGTTTTCTGGTTATTTTTGGTATTCTTCTCTGTTCCTTTCTTCTCTTAGTCCCTTATGATTTGGTTACTGAGTTATGTTTGTGTTACTTCCTCTTTATCTTTTGTGTATCTATATTATATGTTTTTGATTTGTGGTTACCATGAAGTTCTTATATAGCAAATATCAGTATATTTTAAGTTGACCATTGCTCAAATTTGGCTGTATTCTAAAAACACTACATTTTTACTCCCCTCTGCCACATTTTATGTCTTTGGTGTCTTACTTTACATTTTTTATTTTGTACATTGTTAAATAATTACTGTAGATAATATTTTATTTTACTAGTTTTGTATTTTTAACCTTCATACTAGCTGTATAGTTGGCTGATTCATTACCTTTACTATATATTTGGCTTTACTGGTGGTATTTTTCTCTTTTTGAATTTTCATATTTCTGGTTATGTTCTTGTCTTTTCTATAAGGAAGACCCTTTAACATTTCTTATAAGGTTGGCTTAGTGGTGATGGACTCATTGCCCTTTTGCTGTTCTGGTAAACTCTTTATCTCTTCTTCAATACTGAATGTTAACTTCACCAGATAGAGGTTCTTGGTTGTGTTTTTCCTTTCAGTACTTTGAATGCTACTGCTACTGCTAAGTCACTTCAGTTGTGTCCGACTCTGTGTGACCCCATCCCCGGAATTCTCCAGGCAAGAACACTGGAGTGGGTTGCCATTTCCTTCTCCAATGCATAAAAGTGAAAAGTGAAAGTGAAGTTGCTCAGTCATGTCTGACTCTTCGTGACCCCATGGACTGCAGCCTACCAGGCTCCTCCGTCCATGGGATTTTCCAGGCAAGAGTACTGGAGTACTTTGAATATGTCATGCCATACTACAAATTTTCTGCTGAAAAATCAGCTGATAATCTCACAGGATTTATTTTGTATGTGACACATTTGTTTTGTTTTGTTTTTTGCTGACCATAATACTCTCTTTAACTTCTGACATTGTGATGGTAGTGTATTTGTGTAGGTCCCTTTGGATTGACTTTATTTGGTATTCTCTGGGATTCCTAGACTTGAATGTGTTTCTTTCACCAGTTTAGGGGAATTTACATCCATTATCTCTTGAAATATCTCTGTCCCTTTCTTTTCCTTCTGGGAATTCTATAATACAAATGTTAGAATGGTTTTTGTGCCCCAGAGGCTCCTTAAACTATCCTCATTTTTAAAATTCGTTTTTTGTTCTGCTGTTTTGATTGGGTGATTTCCTATTAGCATGTCTTGCATATTGCTGATCCTTTCCTCTGCATCATCTAATCTGCCTGTGATTCCCTCAAGTTTCTAACTTAGCTCCATTTCATTTAATTCTTTTTCTGAGGTTTTGTCTTATTCTTTTTTTTGGAACATATTTGTCTCCTCATATAAACTAATTTTCTGTTTCTATGTATTAGGTAGATCACCTATTATCTCCTGGTCTTTAAAGAGTGACTTTGTATAGAAGGTGTCCTGTGGGGCTCAGTAGTGTGTCCCCTCTTGGTCAACAGAGACAGGTACTCCAGGATTGTCCTCTGTGTGGGCTGTGTGCATACTCCTGTTATCACTGAGTTGCAATTGCTTTGGGTGCACTAGTATATGGGGCTGGTTCCCAGTACAACCAGCTGTAAGGCCTGGCCACAATCTGCCAGCTCCTTTATACTCAGAAAGTTTCAACAGATCTGTGCCTCTTAGGTACATGCTCTAAAATTAATAAATGAATTTCCTTCTTGTATGACCCAGGCACTATTCTAACTGCTGCCTCTGCACTGGGATTTGGAAAGAGTGAATCTGTGCCTGCACCCTTTAAGAGCAGTCTCAGTTTCCTACAGGCTTCTGGCTCTGCCACATGTAAGCCCCTCTGGTGTTAAAGCCAGATTTTATGGTGGCTCATCTTCCTGGTGCAGGTCTTCTAATATGGGGAGCCCAATGTTGGGCTTGGACCCTTGGCCCTTTGGTGAAGACCCCTAGGACTGTGATACCCCTCCTGCTTGTGGATTGCTCCACTGTGGGCATGGGTTCTGACTAAACTGCATCTCTGTTCCTCCTACCTGTCTCATTGTTGCTTTTTCTTTTTATCTCCAGTTATGGGAAATATTTTCTGTTAGTCTTATGGTCATTCTCAGAGATGGTTCTCTCTATGTAGTTGTAATTTTTGTGTATGTGTGGGGGGAGGTGAGCCCAAGATCTCCCTACTCTGCCATCTTGTTCTACATCCCCTTTCCACTCTAGTTTATTATTGATAGGGTTTGTGGGGTGGCTCTTATTAGAACTTATTCTAGGTCTATTTTAATCTACAGGTTTTCTTTTCCTCAAGTCAGTATTCCAGAATCACTGCCCAGAAGCCTGGGCTATAGTGAGTACCATAGTTTCCCAGAAGAGTTTAGTGCCTTTTGGTAATAAAAGTATATACAATATTTGTTTTGTGTGGTGATGGTGGTAAGAGGTCACACTGGCACTAACCCATTCACTGTACATGTCTAGACTGAGCCTTTAAGCATATTTATATTATTACTAAATTACTGTTCACATAACTGCTTTTATTTGTTTTGATTAATAAGTTTCATTAGCTCAATTAAAACTGTGTTAAATTGTTTGACATATTTCTTTAATGGTGTCTCTTTTTATTTTTGATATAATGAAATGTGACTTTTATGATGTATAATGCATTTTTTGGCATTTCTAGACAAAGTTTGCTTTCATTTATGATTCACAGTCTGTAGAAAACTTTGTTCATTGTGTATCTCTAGGTGACAGATATTCATAGAATTATTAAGGGGATGTACCTAATGCAGAAAGCATGCTTTGAAGTTAGAGGTTTATAGAATGAAAGTACATTGATGGGAAAGTCTTACTTTTGTTAATAGTGCAGTTTTCATTCTTTTCCAGATCCTCCTGAATTATTTTGGAAACTATATACCTAATGCATGGACACAAGATAATGGTTGCACCCTTTGTGAAGTGGATACAATTGACTTGTCTGCAATAGATGTGAGTGGAATTGACTCTGGATGAAATGTAGTAATAAAAGTATATTTTCATGAAATTCAATGATTTGTAAAATAAAAACAACACATTATTTTATAGTATTGATAATTTGGTAGATGATAGATTTATAAATCTAAAGCAGGATGACAGAAAATTGCTGGATATGTGTATTTCTAGAAAAACCAGATAATAATTGACCCCATTGACCCTAGTAAAAGGGGCTTAGTTGTTAATATTCACTAGTTTGCTATGAGTGGGAATTCTTGTTTTTAGTCTTTAACTTGGTCAAAGGATTGAGGAAAATAATGGTTATAATGTTTCAGTATTTGTATTGACTAATTTTATCTGTGCTTGATTTTCAAATTCGATGATTTAAATATAATAACTAAGGACTGTTTTAGTATTTTATATATAGTAACTCATATTAATTTTACAAATCCCATAGGTTTGACTGAGGTTTACAGATGAGAAAACTGAGGTACCTCCACATTAAGTAACTTGCCTAAGGCATGCAATTTTTTTTTTTTTACTATTGGATGTGTGATTTGAATTTAGGCAATCTGGTTCTAGACCCTATAATTTTGACCACTGTGCAATTTTGCCTAGATGTCACATATATATTATATGCCAGGCATAGTGCTACTTTATACATAGATTTCATACAGAATTATAGTTATAGTTTACCATTTATACTTTGAAGATAAACATGCCATTGGAAGTAATTATTATTTATGTATAAAATGCTTTATGCATCCTTCTGTCATCAACAGAGCAGTTTTAGGATATCCTGTAGTAATATTTTTCTTCCAAAAATGGCTCTTATAATTTGGAAGACTATTACGTGTATGAACAATGGGTTCTAAGGATAATTTTGTCATTAAGAATGATTGTTTCCTTTACTTACCATAATTTTGTTGAATATCTACAGCATGCCAGATAAGTGTAGACACAAATAAAATTCCCCTTAATATAGTTCTGGTGACTTCTGGACCCATACAAATTCAAAATAATCTCACTGTAAAGTACTAAATGTCCTGAATTAAGTAGTTTCTGTTTTTATCACTGTCTGAAAGGGAGGATAAAGAGTAATTTGTTCATATTTAGGAGAGTCTGAATAGAGCCCTCTTTTACCTGAAACTAAGATTTTTTGGCCAGTCTCTGAAATAACAAGCTGAATGTTTCCTATCTGGAAAGAAAGCCAGAAAATTTCTGAATGAAGCTGCATCATGAAGATGTTTAAAAATTCATCCTGATCTTTTTTTCAAAAGAGTGCTGTCTTCTGGAGGGAGAGTTAAAATTTTTTATCTGTTTGGTTTCCTGTTAACATAAACTTTCTAGTGCCAAGACACAAATATTTATATTATAATTTTTTATCTTTATTTTTTTGCACATAGGAATAACTTGATTACCAAGCCGTTTTTGTCTTACAGACTGCTAGAAAGGAAAGCCATTGTATTATAAAAATAAATTTCTTATGTATTTTATTTATTTAGTAATTATGCATATAAATATTAAAATTATATAGGTAGTTAAGGTCTAGGGCTACCATATTCTAAGATGTGGGCCATAGGCAAGTTTCTTTATATGTAAAAATGATAATGGTTGTCTCAGAGGATTGGTAGGAGGCTTAAAGAAATTACACATATGTTTATGTATACAGTGATATTTTATATGATAAATATATATATGGAATGCTAAGCTTTGAATAATACTTAACTGTTATCATCATTGGTGTACTGTTGTTATCATTAGTGTATAAAATGAGCTTAGATTGATAGTGAAGATGTAGCATGTTGAAGCTTAACTCTACCTACTAATTCATGTGTTCTGAGTTGCTCTAAATCTCCTTTTCCTCATATTGTAAATTTGGGATAATAAATGACTTCTAGGTTATGAAATTTAAATGACATGCATCACTTCATTTGATAAGGGAAAGTTGTCATCCAGTTTTTACTCATTTCCCCTATTAAATTGAGAACTCCTAGAAGGTAGATTTTTTTTCTTTAGTTGTTTGTCTTTGTTTATTGACTTAGTAATAAATATTTGGGTAACTGAATGAATACATACAATGAATTGATATATACAACTGTGTTTGAGTTGTACTTCAATCCACACAAATATTAGGTTATCATCCAGATGACAGAGGAATACATGAGGTATTATGTGTGAAAAGATGGGGGAGAGGTACCTAATTCGGCGCTGAATATATATGGCACTTTAAAAAATCTGTAATCTTTATTTTTAGAAGTTTTTTGTTATTTAAAAATTTTTCTTGTTCAATAGTGTGATGTACTTATTTGTCTTTTCCGTTTACCTTTTAATCTACTTCACCCATGTGTATATAATTTGTAATTTAAAAATCTAAAGTTAAGCTTCAAGACATGGATTTAAAAAGGTATTATAAAGAAATCTTTCATATAGTTCCAATAAAAATACCATACTATTGTGTGGTTATTTACTTATGTTTCTGTCTTCCTCAACCATTTGTAAGTTTCCAAGCCAGGAACTTTCCCTCCATTTTCTAAATGTTTCTGATCACGAGGATAGACTAATAATAGATATTTCAGAATTTTTCATGAAATGAGTGACAGATAAGCCATCTTCTAACACTTACCCAAACAGAAATTAAGAAATTATATAAAAATCGATACAAGATAAGATATATTAGTGATGCAAAATAGCTTTCCTTATATATAACATAATAATGAAGCAAAATAAAGAACTATCAGTAAAATGATATTAATGAATCAAACATAGAGATAAAGTCTCATGATTTTAGTAATGAGACTTAATGAGGTTTCTCATAATAATCTCTATGATTACTTTATTTGAGCCACAGATTAACCATTCAGTTTCCAAGCCATAGAAACAAACAAGGAAGCACAGTTAGCATTTTGATTTCTGAGATGAAGCTATCAAAATAGATTCATATCTAAAGAAAGTTTCTTTTAGGACTACTTTAAAGGGAACATTAAATAGTAGAGCAGGCAATAACTCTAATTATAGTGTCCCTGTAATAAATATAGTAGTGAGCTTCCTCTTCAACTTGAATCATAATGTCAAGATGTTATTCAGTAAAAAATCATTGATGGGGTCCACAAAAATGTATTAGAGAATTGCCACTGGGCAATCAACGTTATGTTGTACTGATATTATAGTATGTTTTGTGCTGTATTGATTAATACTTGAATAGAATTTAAAGTAAACCCATGCTAATGATAATTTGTTTTTATGTTTGACATAAAACAAAGGTCTATCCAAATGTAACAATAGGTGTTTTTATTGAGCAACCAACCCCTTTCCTACCTCGATTTCTGAACACATTGTTGACTCTGGATTACCCAAAAGAAGCACTTAAATTCTTTATTCATAACAAAGTAAGTATTTGATAAATGAATTATTTTATGTGAAAACTTTGATCTTAGTTAAAACTATTTGTTATTATTTGTTCATGTCTAAAAATTTTTTAAATTTGTGTTAAATTATGTGGGGGTTTTGAAATCATTACTTCTTTGCCTCTTTAGGGGGCTTCCCTTGTAGCTCAATCAGTAAAGAATCTGCCTGCAGTTCAGGAGACTTGGGTTCAATCCCTGATTTGGGGAGATCCCCTGGAAAAGGAAATGGTGACCCACTCCAGTATCCTTGCCTGGAAAATCTCATCGACAGAGGAGTCTGGTGGGCTACAGTCCATAGGTTCGCAAAGAGTTGGGCAGGACTGAGCGACTAACACTTACTTACTTACTTGCCTCTTTAGCACCTAAGTATTTTCAAATACAGTAACTAGTATCATAGTATTGGGATGAGCCACATGAAGCTGTCAGTTTTTTGTAGATCAAAAATGGTTGACTATCAGCCATTTTAATAAATTTAACATAATATATAGTGAAGAGATGTCAAAGAGTCTATAGTCCTTTGCCTTTGGGTTTGTTCTAGTACTTACTTTTATAGAACTGGTCATAAAATCATAGCTAATGATAATACCTGGATTTCCCTGGTGGCTCAGATGGTGAAGAATCTGCCTGTATTGCAAGAGATGCGGGTTCAGTCCTTGGATCAGGAAGATCTCCTGGAGAAGGGCATGGCAACCCACTCCAGTATTTTTGTCTAGAGAATCCCATGGACAGAGGAGCCTGGCAGGCTACAGACCAGGGGATCTCAGAGTCAGATGACTGAAGCAGCTCAGCATGCACTCAGTGATAATACCTAACATCAGAACTTGAAATGTCTTCCAGATACAGTATTGTTTTGATTAATCACACAATGGCATACTCTTTCCCAAAGGCTTTTGATACTTTCATTTCCTTCAAAAAATATTCAGATCCTCCCAAATACCTCCCACATATAGTCTAAACTTAAAGACATTTTTCCTCAATGTTTTTCCATTTACTTATCTCTTTCATGTTGAAACTGTTGACATTTATTATCATCTGGAGAAACTCAATAGCCATGAACTATATATTTTTTTCTCTCTTTTGTCTTAATACTTTTAGTTTGACATTGTTCTTTCTTCCTGGTATACATATCAGCTAGTCATTCACCTTTTCAGGAGACTATTTTATTTAGTATATCTGCAAAAAACTAGCTCAAATAAGTTTTAAAGGGTGAATGCATTGAACATTTGCTTTTTATAAAATGCATTGTAATATATTGCTTATATTAAAGTATTTTCTTTTTATGGAATGTGTCTTAAACTTTTCCTCCTTTCATAGGACCTAAAACCCCTTGATAACAGGAGTTTTTATCTTCTTTTATTTAAAATATTACCTCTCTGCAGCTTTTGTATGATGTCATTTTAACGAGCTGTGAAAAACTTTCAAAAATACTTAGTGAGATTTGATTAATAAAAAGCTCTGAAGTTCTCTAATGATGGAGATAATCTTATCTAAATTTTAGCAGTCGAATCACACTAGTTTGATGATTTTTGATGTTGATTATTTTCTCATTGTATTTCTTTATCAATAAAATTTTATTAATTTTCCCTTCTTTTTGTAAAAAAAATGACTATATGACCATAAATTTTTCTCTCTGATTAAAATAACATTATAATATTTATTTTATAAAAAACATGATAACAGATTAATCAGTTAGGTTTAATAGATACTTTTATGGATATTTTATAACACATATCTAAGATTCTCTACCACAAGCCTTTTTTCCCTCTCAAGTTAGAAATGTTTTATAGCACTTAGGGTTTAAGTATTAATGCAAGGATCTGTCTAGAAGTAGATATTAAAATAATTTTAAAGTATCTTTTAAAAAATTCCTAAGTATCTTATTTTAGGTTCTTCCTGTGATATTTAGATGACATTTAAATGTATAATGTGTTTAATACAATTATCATTTTGTCTGTAATTGAGTGAATATGTGAATTGTGGAGTTCACAATTTTGAATGTGAAGTCATCCTTCCATATGAAAACTTCAGTTGCCTTTTCTCTCACTTCTTTTTTTTGAAACTAATTTTCAATTTTTAAAATATGTTACAGGAAGTTTATCATGAAAAGGACATCAAAGTATTTTTTGATAAAGCTAAACATGAAATCACTACTCTAAAAATAGTAGGACCAGAAGAAAACCTAAGTCAAGCAGAAGCCAGAAACATGGGAATGTATGTTTTAGCAAATATAAATTCAATCAGTATTTACTAAAGAAACTTTTCTTCAAAATTAATATTCTAAACTTGGATGTCTCAACTGTGTGTTCACATGTGTGTGTATGTGTGCATGTGTGTGTGTACATGTGTGTATCCACACATGAGCAAGCCTCTGCTTTAGAACTATATCTATGTTTGAGTGTATTTATGTCTAAAGGGAAATGAAAATTATTTACAATTTTCTTCTAGTGGCTGAGAGTCAATATATTTAATGAAACTATTAACTGAACTTCGGTTCATGATTTAAATCCTCAGACAAATGAGTCATGTGACTGATGTAACAGTGATTTAAATATGTATTAGCTGAAGGTTTTGTGGGACAGAAATGTATGTTTCAGATATTTTAGTTACCTCCTGGGCTTCCCCAGTGGCTCAGTGGTAAAGAATCTGCCTACAATGTAGGAGCCACAGGAGATGCGGGTTTGATCCCTGGGTTGGGAAGATCTTCCGGTGGAAGATGGCAGCCCACTCCAGTATTCTTGCCTGGAGAATCCCATGGACAGAGAAGCCTGGTGGGCTGTAGTTCATGGGGTTGCAAAGAGTTGGACATGACTGAAGCGACTTAGCATGCATGCATGCATGATCTAAATATCCAAATATCCAAATATCCAAATAAAGTAAGTACTTTAGGTCCTTTGTCTAGCCCCTTTAATAACTTCAGACAGATTATTTATAAACTTTTGGTTGCAGTAAAGAAAACCATTTATTCAGTGATTGTTGAATATGTCCATCAGTGGTTAGAGAGCTACTAATTAAAAGGTAAGAGATGGTCCCTTCTTAGCAGGAGATATTCTTGTATTGTGCTATAGACGCTCTGCTCCGAGTGATAGACAGTGCCTATTGTGGGCGTATAAGGACTGGCAGGAAAACAGACCTTGGAAAAATCAAACTGATGTTAATACTAAGGGTTCTGTAATTTAATCATTGGAGACTACCGTGGGTCCACATTTAAAACCTGTTTTCTCTAATTTAAAAACTTCTGTATGTGCTCTGTTGTGTCTGACTTTGCCTCAGCACAGTGTTCTCTAATTTGCTTATGTCATTACAATTATCAGCAGTTCATTCCTTTTCATTGCTGACTAGTATTTTTCCATATGAATATATTACAAGTGGTTTATATTCTCTACAGTTGATAGGCATTGGGTTATGTAGAGTTTTGGGCCATTATGAATAAGACTGCTAATGAAGATTCTTTATTAGAAGTGTGAATACAATGTATTATGTGTGTGTGCATGTGTGTGTGTGTGTGTGCATGTGTGTACATATATCCTTTAGAATATATTTGGAAAATACCAAGGAATGGACTAACTAGGGCACAGGGTTAGGATAGATTATGTTTAACTTTTTAAGAAACTGCTGAATAGTGCAAAATAGATGGACATTTTATACTTTTAACAGCAAGGTGGTATAGCTCCAGCTGCTTCACATGTTTGTCAACATTTATTGCCCATCTTTTTGTTTTAGCCACCCTACTGGGTATGGAAAGATATCTTACTCTGGCTTTTTAAGTATTGCCTTTTAATGAGAAGAAATTTTAATCTTAATAAAATTCTGTTTCATTTTTTATGCTTTGGTATTTATTTTCTATTTAAGAAATCTTGTTCTAATGTCATGAATCCATTATTTGAAATTTTTCTTTCATAAGCTTTATCATTCTATCATTTATGTCTAAGATGTTTCAATCTGCAATTCATCTTGAATACATTTTTGTGTTTTGAGTGAAGTAGGGGGTCAAATTTCATTCTTTGCAAATGAAATTCCAGTTGTTTCAACACTCCTTTTATTTCTCTTTTTAAAATTATTTATTTTTTAATTGAAGGATAGTTGCTTTACAGAATTTTGTTGTTTTCTGCCAAATATCAACATGAATCAGCCATAGATATACATAAGTGCCCTCCCTCTGAACCTTCCTCCCATCTCTCTCCCCATTTCACCTCACTAGGTTGTTACAGAGCCCCACTCCTTTTTAATTTAAGGCTTTTATTTTCCTACTTAATTCACTTGGCCTTGGTCCTAAATTAGGTGACTGAGTATTTGTGCGTGATTGGGAACTCTCTATTCTATCTTGTTGCTCTAAGATGAATGCCACACTTTATTACCAAGAATTTATATTCATCTTGAAATCATGTAATATAAATGTTTCAATTTTTATCCAAGATAATCTGGGCTGCTTTAAAAAAAATTTTTTTAGCTTATTATTTTATATTGAGGTATATATAATTCACATATAATATTTGTCTCAGGTGTGCAACATAATGCTTTAATATTTGCATATGTTGTGAAATAATCACCACAATCTCTAGTTAGCATCTGTCACCATACATAGAGGATTTTAAAATAATTTCCTCTAATTTTTCTTTTTTGTACAATTTTAACTATCTTCCTGTCATATCCTGTTTGACAGTTGCTTAGAAACAAATGTGTTATGGAGATAAATATTGTCAATAGCAGAAAGTGATAATTTGGATCAGCAGTGATGGAGGAGAGCTCAGAAAGAACCCCAAATGCAGAAACCACAATACTTGGAAGCTTGTCATGTATCACAAGTAGTTCATTCCTTTGTGTTCCTGATGATAATGCTCCAGACTGTACCAGGAAAAGCATACATCATAATCCATGTCCCCATATAAAAAGTAGGGCAGTGACTATGTTAGAAAAAATTTCATGTAAATCAAGTTTAAAAAGTACTGATACCTAAAGAGTTATACACCTGTAGCTCCAAGATTTCACTTAAACTAAATTGTAGATGTACAGAATTTTTCTCTGTGTGTGTGTGTGTGTGTGTGTGTGTGTGTGTAGAAAATATTTTGATTTGTGAAAAAATTCTGTTGACAAAACATTAGTATAAAGTATGTTTCCCTTTTAGAGAGGACTAAATGCTGAATTATAAATTGCCCATTTGACCTGATGCTTTATGGTTTAAAGTATTTCATGGCTTGAAAATATATTTCACTTGCCCTAAAATTTTTAGTATTGCTCTATCCATGAACATCTGTGTTGATCAACTGACCATTTTGAAATTTAAAGTAATATTTACCCTTTTGGATATTGTCTTACTATTTTGATTAGAAAAGTACTTTAGAAAAACCTTATTTTACATGAGATTTATGTTAACATTTTTCAACCAATATTTTCAAATATTTGGTTTACTTAATGCTTATTTTATTTCTTTTTCAACAACAGGGATTTTTGCCGTCAGGATGAAAACTGTGAATATTACTTTAGTGTGGATGCAGATGTTGTTTTGACAAATCTAAGGACTTTGAAAATTTTGATTGAACAAAACAGGTACTGTATATGATTTAATGTCAGTTTATTTTAAAATTATAATTATTTTCTGCATTTATGTGGACATGCCATAATTACTTATCTGTGTTTAGGAAATTGAGGAAACTCACAAAAGATTATTTTCTACAGGTTTCAATTCTGAGTTTGTATTTTTTAGAGAAGTCAAATAGAAAATAACCTGATGAAAATTTATATGTATTCAGTATGTTACAATCACGAATATAATGTTTATTAATTATATTTGGCTTATTTTTTTAAACTAGATGAAATTGTGATTTATCTGTAACATTTGGAATTGCTTTATTTTCTAAAGATATTTTTAAAGTAGAATTTCATAAAACTTCTGACCTAAAAAGTTACTACAAGCAGAGTTGGAAGTTCTTAGAATTTGAAAGAAATTTCAGAGGTGCACATTACTCCACAGACTGATCTGTGATTTTATTTAGTACTGAACTAACTATCACTAGGCAGTACCTGTTTTTATTTAGCCAAATTGAAGTGAGAAAATGGCACAATCTATACCATCTTATAGTGATTTAATCTTTATTTTAATAATTTACTGCTAACACTAGTATTGAAAGTGAAAAAAAAGTGAAGGTGTTAGTTTCTCAGTCATGTCTGATTCTTCACAGGCTCATGGACTATGTATATCCTGCCAGGCTCCTCTGTCTATGGGTTACTCCAACTAAGAATACTGGAGTGGGTAGCTATTCTCTTCTCCAGAGAATTTTCCTGACCAGAATCAAATTGGGTCTCCTGAATTGCAGATGAATTCTTTACCATCTGAATCACCAGGGAAGCCCAGTAATAGTATTACTAGTATTAATATTTCCACTAATAACCCACCTTTAATGAGTGCTTATTAAGTGCCTGGTATGTTCACAAATATTAACACAATTATTTATCTTAACAAATAGAATGGTTAGCAATGAAATGTTAAAATTGCTGTTTTGAATTTGATGATTAAAACATGTAAGATGTCTGCTGTCCTCTATTAACCCATCCTATGTATAATTTGTCAATTTGAGAATTTAAAAATCTAAGGCTGCTCAGTATTAATTGTAGAATTCCATACTCAAAAACATTGAGGCACACAGCAGATGGATTTTCACTTTCATTGTCTCTTTGCCCAGCTCTTTCAGGCAACTAATATTATAATGAAAAGATTTCTTTCTATTAAATGTTTGATCTTGTTAGTTGTCTTGAATTATCATTCCTTAAATTAACATAATATGTAGATTCTAATTTATGTTTTTATTTCCGATACTGTGGGTATTCTAACAAAGCAGACTATAGATGTATCTGGCTAACATTTTATTCTAATAGGAACCAGGAAAAATAAACTACAAACTGTTTTATCAAGTGTATTTGTAGACTATGTGTTACTTTTCCATAGGTAATGGAAGGGCACACGTGGTCTTCACAAGACTGGAGTGTTGTGAAATGTTTTTTTTTTTTGTGGAGATAGTTGGTCTATTACCTCCCTCTTGAAGGAGTTGTGTGAGATTTTCTTTAGAATTGTGTCACACTACTATAATTTAGATCATTTTTAGTTAATTCTAATGGAATTTCAGAATTTGTTACTTCATTTGAAAACTGTTTATGCATTATAAATTAGATTTCCTTAAGAAGAAATCTGACATGTTTTGAATTTGTAACATGTACTTGTCTCAAAGGGACTCCTTTCCCGGTAAATAGTGAGACAGCACTATTCTATTTTGTTTTCTAAAACAGTCAAAAACCAGAAAAATGTTCAGTGTTGCCAGGGCTAGCACAACCCATTATAAAAGTTAAAAAAAAAAATCGCAACATACTTTAAAGTAATTCAGGACTTAACTTTAGGAAAACTGGCCTATTTACAGATATCTCAGCCCATCTTCATAAATTTTTGTATTCAACAAATATTTATGAGATACCTTAATGCACTAGGGACTGTTATGTCTGCCTAATAACAATGAAAATATTTGATTTCATTGAATATAATTTTTGAAATATTTAAAATAAATGATTAAGGTAGTTACACTTTTATTGGATGCAAGTATGGTCCTTTTAAAAGTTTTTTTTTATACTTTCATTCACATTTTCAATTACTTTTTCTTTTTTATTAGTCTTTTACCAAGCATGATTGAAAATCAGCAATGTACTTGTTTAAGGAAAAGTGAAAGGAGGAAATTCCTTTCTATTTTATTTTAGTTTTTTGGACTAACTGCATATGTGTTAAATAAAGTTTATTGTTTTCTGTGTCATGTTAAGCCCCAAACACATAATTTTGTGGCAGTTAAAAAATGGATAATTATCTGAATTTATTTCTCTCTCCTTAGGAAGATCATTGCTCCTCTTGTAACTCGTCATGGAAAACTGTGGTCCAACTTCTGGGGGGCCTTGAGTCCTGATGGATACTACGCTCGATCTGAAGATTATGTGGATATTGTTCAAGGGAATAGAGTGTAAGTTACTTGATTTGATCTTTTCATGTGAAATATCTTTTGTAAAGATATGGTCTTATAATATTATATTGAGTTTTCAAACATTTTTTAATGTTTCCTTTATGTTAAATGGAAATTTGAAGACCTTGGAGACCACTTGTGATCCTGCAATACTAGTATAAAACTAATATTTTAAAAATTGTTCTTAATGTCATAAATCTTCAAAGGCACACACTCTCAGTTGTGGTAAATGCTAAAAGGTAGTGTATGATTACCATGGGTAGATATCTTATGGTTTTTAGAAAAGGGATATTCTTTAAAGTTTGGAAAGGGAACTTCATTAAGCTAATTTATTTAGTGGCCAGGATGAATGTTGTTTGATAGCTTATAAACTTTATAAATGAGTCAACAAAAACACCAACAACTAAACCTTCCATCATTTCCTTTTGAAGAATTTTCTGTGTGATATAGCTGGTATTCTGCTTTAAAGAGAAGTTTCTTCACCGTATAATTTCCATTTTCTGGAGTTTGAAAAGAGTATACTTGCTACAAAGTATGTGACTTATTTATACTTATTTCAGACACAGAAGTTGGTATTTTTTAAACTAAAGGATGATCACAGTTGAATTAGCTTTTTGCTAAGGTTAAAATAGAGAAGAATGTCATCCTTTTTTTTTCAAACAGCTGACTTGAACCAGAGTGACTGAGACATTAAGTGCGTTGCCTAATTTCTCAGATACATCAGCTCAATTAAAGAGGGTTAATGTTTAGAAGAAAAATCATACAGTGTTTTTGAACAGTTGAGTTGTGAAGAGATGTTTTTCTTGTGAAAATTATAATAGGCATGTAATAGTTAATTTGAATGATATAAATGTCATGAAGTCTTTTGTTAGCTGCAGTTAAGGAGCATGATAACTGAGAAAATACTATTACAATCATATACTGTTGTTTCAAAATACTTTAATAGTTTCTGGGATGATTTGTATAGACTATATGCCTGATGTTGTCCATGGGTGTGGCAGAAATAAGGCTTCACAGAAGTGGAAATAGAGAACTCATATTTCATTTAAGCTGTTTTAGTTCAACTTCCTGTCGTTGTCTAAAGGAAAAGAATAAAGTAGAGGCTTTTGATTTAGTTAATAGAAGAATGTACCTTATGTATGAGATGCATGAAAGAATGACATCTTACAACGTGTGTGTGTGTGTGTGTGTATGAAACAGTGTACTCTTTACCATACCAGTGATTAGTTTCTGAATTCAGTGGGCACACTATATATTTTTTATTGAACATTTCCTTTGAAGCTCATCTAGTAAGACAAAATGATACTATGTATATTGCTTTCAGTCTCTGACTACATTTCCTTGGTCAGGATTTTCCCTTTATGTTCTGTGAAAGCAAAACATATCCCTTCAAGTGAAACTTCTGTTTTATTGTTTATAGGAAATGAGTCATGTTCAGAGTAAGCAGACAAGTGTGGGAAAGAAACAAGGATGAAATAAGCAGTGTCTTCCATCACTTGTGTACTTCAAGCTATGTTTATTTATTTATTTATTTTTTTAATTTTAAAGCTATTGGTCTTTTTTTTTCCATTTATTTTTATTAGTTGGAGGCTAATTACTTTACAACATTGCAGTGGTTTTTGTCATACATTGAAATGAATAAGCCATGGATTTACATGTATTCCCCATCCCGGTCCCCCCTCCCACCTCCCTCTCCACCCGATCCCTCTGGGTCTTCCCAGTGCACCAGGCCCGAGCACTTGTCTCATGCATTCAACCTGGGCTGGTGATCTGTTTCACCCTAGATAATATACATGTTTCGATGCTGTTCTCTTGAAACATCCCACCCTCGCCTTCTCCCACAGAGTCCACAAGTCTGTTCTATACATCTGAGTCTCTTTTTCTGTTTTGCATATAGGGTTATCGTTACCATCTTTCTAAATTCCATATATATGTGTTAGTATACTGTAATGGTCTTTATCTTTCTGGCTTACTTCGCTCTGTATAATGGGCTCCAGTTTTATCCATCTCATTAGAACTGATTCAAATGAATTCTTTTTAACGGCTGAGTAATATTCCATGGTGTATATGTACCACAGCTTCCTCATCCATTCGTCTGCTGATGGGCATCTAGGTTGCTTCCATGTCCTGGCTATTATAAACAGTGCTGCGATGAACATTGGGGTGCACGTGCCTCTTTCAGATCTGGTTTCCTCGGTGTGTATGCCCAGAAGTGGGATTGCTGGGTCATATGGCAGTTCTATTTCCAGCTTTTTAAGAAATCTCCACACTGTTTTCCATAGCGGCTGTACTAGTTTGCATACCCACCAACAGTGTAAGAGGGTTCCCTTTTCTCCACACCCTCTCCAGCATTTATTGCTTGTAGACTTTTGGATAGCAGCCATCCTGACTGGCATGTAATGGTACCTCATTGTGGTTTTAATTTGCATTTCTCTGATAATGAGTGATGTTGAGCATCTTTTCATGTGTTTTTTAGCCATCTGTATGTCTTCCTTGGAGAAATGTCTGTTTAGTTCTTTGGCCCATTTTTTGATTGGGTCATTTATTTTTCTGGAGTTGAGCTGCAGGAGTTGCTTGTATATTTTTGAGATTAATCCTTTGTCTGTTGCTTCGTTTGCTATTATTTTCTCCCAATCTGAGTGCTGTCTTTTCACCTTGCTTATAGTTTCCTTTGTTGTGCAAAAGCTTTTAAGTTTGATTAGGTCCCATTTGTTTATTTTTGCTTTTGTTTCTAAAATTCTGGCATGTGGGTCATAGAGGATCCTGCTGTGATTTATGTCAGAGAGTGTTTTGCCTATGTTCTCCTCTAGGAGTTTTATAGTTTCTGGTCTTACATTTAGATCTTTAATCCATTTAGAGTTTATTTTTGTGTATGGTGTTAGAAAGTGTTCTAGTTTCATTCTTTTACAGGTGGTTGACCAGTTTTCCCAGCACCACTTGTTAAAGAGGTTGTCTTTTTTCCATTGTATATCCTTGCCTCCTTTGTCGAAGATAAGGTGACCATAGGTTCATGGATTTATCTCTGGGCTTTCTATTCTGTTCCATTGATCTATATTTCTGTCTTTGTGCCAGTACCATACTGTCTTGATGACTGTGGCTTTGTAGTATAGTCTGACGTCAGGCAGGTTGATTCCTCCAGTTCCATTCTTCTTTCTCAAGGTTACTTTGGCTATTCGAGGTTTTTTTGTACTTCCATACAAATTGTGAAATTATTTGTTCTAGTTCTGTGAAAAATACCGTTGGTAGTTTGATAGGGATTGCATTGAATCTATAGATTGCCTGGGTAGTATGGTCATTTTGACAATATTGATTCTTCCAATCCACGAACATGGTATATTTCTCCATCTGTGTCTGTCCTCTTTGATTTCTTTTATCAGTGTTTTATAGTTTTCTATGTATAGGTCTTTTGTTTCTTTAGGTAGATATACTCCTAAGTGTTTTATTCTTTTTGTTGCAATGGTGAATGGTATTGTTTCCTTAATTTCTCTTTCTGTTTTCTCATTGTTAGTGTATAGGAATGCAAGAGATTTCTGCGTGTTAATTTTATATCCTGCAACTTTACAGTATTCGTTGATTAGCTCTAGTAATTTTCTGGTAGAGTCTTTAGGGTTTTCTATGTAGAGGATCTTGTCATCTGCAAACAGAGAGTTTCACTTCTTCTTTTCCTATCTGGATTCCTTTTACTTCCTTTTCTGCCCTGATTGCTGTGGCCAACACTTCCAAAACTATGTTGAATAGTAGTGGTGAGAGTGGGCACCCTTGTCTTGTTCCTGATTTCAGGGGAAACGCTTTCAATTTTTCACCATTGAGGGTGATGCTTGCTGTGGGTTTGTCATATATAGCTTTTATTATGTTGAGGTATGTTCCTTCGATTCCTGCTTTCTGGAGAGTTTTAATCATAAATGGATGTTGAATTTTGTCAAAGGCTTTTTCTGCATCTATTGAGATAATCATATGGTTTTTATCTTTCAATTTGTTAATGTGGTGTGTTACATTGATTGATTTGCGGATATTAAAGAATCCTTGCATTCCTGGGATAAAGCCCACTTGGTCATGGTGTATGATTTTTTTAATATGTTGTTGGATTCTGTTTGCTAGAATTTTGTTAAGGATTTTTGCATCTATGTTCATCAGTGATATTGGCCTGTACTTTTCTTTTTTTGTGGCATCTTTGTCTAGTTTTGGAATTAGGGTGATGTTGGCCTCATAGAATGAGTTTGGAAGTTTACCTTCTTCTGCAATTTTCTGGAAGAGTTTGAGTAAGATAGGTGTTAGCTCTTCTCTAAATTTTTGGTAGAATTCATCTGTGAAGCCATTTGGTCCTGGGCTTTTGTTTCCTGGAAGATTTCTGATTACAGTTTCGATTTCCGTGCTTGTGATGGGTTTGTTAAGATCTTCTATTTCTTCCTGGTTCAGCTTTGGAAAGTTATACTTCTCTAAGAATTTGTCCATTTCTTCCAAGTTGTCCATTGTATTGGCATAGAGCTGCTGGTAGTAGTCTCTTATGATCCTTTGTATTTCAGTGTTGTCTGTTGTGATCTCTCCATTTTCGTTTCTAATTTTGTTAATTTGGTTCTTCTCCCTTTGTTTCTTAATGAGTCTTGCTAACGGTTTGTCAATTTTGTTTATTTTTTCAAAAAACCAGCTTTTAGCTTTGTTGATTTTTGCTATGGTCTCTTTAGTTTCTTTTGCATTTATTTCTGCCCTAATTTTTAAGATTTCTTTCCTTCTACTCACCCTGGGGTTCTTCATTTCTTCCTTTTCTAGTTGCTTTAGGTGTAGAGTTAGGTTATTTATTTGACTTTTTTCTTGTTTCTTGAGGTAGGCCTGTAATGTTATGAATCTTCCCCTTAGCACTGCTTTTACAGTGTCCCATAGGTTTTGGTTGTTGTGTTTTCATTTTCATCCATTTCTATGCATATTTTGACTTCTTTTTTGATTTCTTCTGTGATTTGTTGGTTTATTCAGAAGCGTGTTGTTTAGCCTCCATATGTTTGCAT